TCATGGGAGATCCCTCAAGCTTTAGAAAACGAAATGAAATCCGTCCCACAACCAGAATATAATAATATAATATAAAAACAAAATAAAAATCCTACCGATAGTGAACGAAACAGCTCCACCATCGCCAGCAGCAGCAGCAATAATGCGATGCGGTCCGGGAAGAAAGACTGGAACCCCCTTTCCAAATAAATGCCGCGTAGAAAAAACGTGTGAGCCGGAGGAGAGCCCTCCCGGTTCCCGCGTTCGGTGACGGCCCCTGCATGTGGCGCGCAGCTGCCCCCGCGCCGTTCGCCTCGCACGTCGCGCGCGCGCACGCACCGGCGGTCGGTGCGGTGCCAGTGGGGCTCGGCTGGCTGGCCGTCCAGCCCCACACGCCCGTCCACGTCCAATCCCGCGCGGCCACGCTGGCTCCACTGTTGACACCCTGGCCCCGCACGCGCATATCCCCCGGATCCCCTGCGGGCGGCTATTAAAGGCTCCGCGGCCCGCAACGGGCGGCGCTGCGCTGCCCTGGCTTGGCCATCTTCTTCTTCTTGTTGTGTCTGTCGCCTCGGGGCGGTTGAAATTAACGACGCCGAGACCGCGACGAGGCCCGGGCGGACAGCCGGACACCAGCGCCAGCGCCAGGGTAACGGCAGTGACACGCCCGAGGAAGAAAACAAGCAAGCAACCCACCACGCCCCTGCCTCGTCGGTGGCCAAGCCACAGCTAGCTAGCGCGCCAGCCAGGCTCCGGCAAAGGGAGGAAGCAAGCGAGGATCGGAGAGGGGTGGTTCTTGTCAGCTGCGAGGAGGAGCGTCGAGGAGCGAAGTGGAGGCCGCGCCCGCCACGGTCGGGATGGTGGTGGCGAGGAAGCAGCAGCATCCGCCGCCTCCCGCCGGCGGCGCGCGTCGACGGGGCGGCGGCGTGAGGGTGGGGCCCGCGAGGCTCGAGGGCCTCCCGGCGGCGTGGCCGGGCGCCGCCGCCGTCAAGGTCAAGTGGCCCGCGCCCGGGGGCGCGCTCTCGCAGATGCTGACGGGCCGGTGGGCGCGCGGGGTCACCGCTGTCGAGGCCGTCGGCGCCGGCGGGACCGTCCGCTGGGAGGCACGCGACGGCAACCGGTTCAAGCTCGACGTCGTCGACCCCGCCGGCGCCCGCGGCCGGCCGGAGCGCGGGGTCTTCTTCTCCGTCCTCTATGTAAGCGTCCTCCCCCCCGCTCTTGATCATCAGTTTCTTCAGCCAAATCAAATCGCCTAGCTTAGTACTGTTATAACGGATGTTGCATATGCAATCAGTAGAAACTTTGCTAGATCTTCTGTTACACTGATTTGAACCTTTCCAACATGATTTGTTTCTTTAAGGCGTCCTGATTTCATTTCCGCCTTCTACAAGCATAATTTAATATACGCTCGGGTTTTTTCTAGTTAAATTCTAATATTTTTTTAATCAACCTGTCTTTGATATTTTGTCGCCGCATTGGTGGTAAGTTGTGCGGATACCATTTCCTGCTGTGAATTGGAGGCTTGCGATGCGACCGCAGCTTCGGTGTGGTGTGCTCGAGGTCAATGCACAGCATTCTTTTACCTGTAGCGGTCTGGTCAGCAATTGGGGAGGAGAGGACAAGTCAAATGTTGGGCTAAGCATCATAATCCATGGTTTAGTGCTGAGCTGAGGAAAAAGTATTCATCTTTGCTGGGAGCATTTGTCTAAAGTTTTATTGTGCGTGGTTTGAAATTGAACAGGGGGGCCAAGGCCACGTGGTCCACTCCGATTGGCCCGCGTCGTTTGACTCCAGTCAGGCTTTAGTTATTTTTATTTGGTTGCGAGATCTATGTCATGGTGTTAATTTTGAGGGTTATGTTCCAACAGTGGCCCCCTCGCTTTCATGTGTGTTAAAGTTGCATTTTTCGGAAGGTGCTGTTCTGCCCAAATCTTTTCTTTTCAGTGTTGATAATATGTGGTTTGTCAGCTTTCTTGTGACATTTCTGTTTCATTCCTATTTACCAACCGTTTTGTAACTACTATATTTTTAAAAACCTTTTTGGGTGGGTGAAAGTAATAACAGTAAAAATTTAATTACTAGCTTATACCGCAAGGACAACTAAATGTAACCTCCCGTGGAACAGAACCAAAGTAGGCATCAAAGAATATCTTAGGTTCCTTCCAAAGCAGTAATCTTGAAGAGCAGTACAAGCATTTACGTAGCAAGCAATGTTATTCCTTTGCCATTTCGGGGTAATCTTGAGACTTACAGTGGAATGGATCATAGAGTACCAATCAAAGCATCCACCTTCTAGCTATGTAGCCCCCCTTTCTGTGTGGATGCGTAGGCTTGTAGCCATCGAGGCTGGCAATAAGAATTGCTTTGCGACGCAGGGATTCCAAGAACAAGGCCGGGGCAAGGAGCTGGTGAGGCTGGAGGAGATCGGGACAGCCATGATAAGCCTGGAGGAGTGCTGCTGGGAGATGCAACTGCAGCAGCAGCGCCAGCAGCTGGTGGTTGTCCCCATCAGGGTCAGGAAGGACGGATGGGCAAGTGATGCCATGCTTTATGTAAGCGCGATCTTCTCCGGCTTGCTTTTTCCCCACCCTCCCCCTCCCCTTTCAATTGCCTTGCCGGCCATTTGCAGTTTTAGTGGAATTGCTTTGGATTTGGATAATAGATATGACAGATGTTTGGTGGAAATGACATGTTCTAATGAAAGAAGTGTGCGCGGTTAATTATTCAGGTGAACGTGGAGCTCGTGGATGCGAACACGCGCTCGGACATCGAAAGAGCAGTCTCGTTTAGGGAGAAGCCGAGAACGAACATGGCGCCACGGCCGACAGTGCGAGATAGCCGGAAGAGCTTGGAGGCAGCGACGTACGATGATATTCTTGACCTGAAGCAGCTGCTTGATCTGGCTGAGAAGGAAGGCCGGGTGGCCGTGTACGGGAACAAAAGGAACTCCGACACCAGCAGCGTGAGCAGCATCAGTAGCAGCACGATTAGCAGCAGCAGTGCTAGCACCAGTGGCGGCGCGAGCCCAGAGCCGGCCTCGACGTCGAAACGCCGGTTCCTGCCATGGATGAGGAGGAGCAGGGACTTCGACAAGAGGAGCACCGAGTCGCTCTCCCAAGAACTGCATATGAAGTGCATGGTGAGCTTCTGGCACTTGATGAAAATGAAATGTTCCTCATCATGTGCACCGGCATTGGGGAATTATAGCACTAATCGTGGTGTCACGACGACGAATCTGTGTAGGATGACGATCCGTACGGCAGCTGGGAGACGCGCGAGTTCACGAGCAGGGACGCCGAGACGAAGCTCAGGACGCCGGTGTTCTTCGCGTCCATCGACCAGCGCGACGACAGCGCCGGCGGGGAGAGCGCGTGCACGGCGCTCGTCGCTGTCCTCGCGGCAGCGCTCCACGCCAACCACCCGACGATGCCCACCCGGCCGGAGCTGGACGCGCTCATCCGGGACGGCTCGTCGGAGTGGAGGAAGCTCTGCGACGACGAGGCGCACATGGCGCAGTTCCCGAACCGGCACTTCGACCTGGACACCGTCCTCGCGTCCTGGGCGCGGCCCATCGCGGTGCAGCACGACAAGGCCTTCGTCGGCTTCTTCCAGCCGGAAAGCTTCGCGTCGCTGTCAGGCGCCATGTCGTTCGACGACATCTGGCGCGAGATCAGCGGTGGCGAACGCGAGCCGGGCCGCGCCGACGTGTACATCGTCAGCTGGAACGACCACTTCTTTGTGCTCAAGGTGGAGAGCGACTGCTACTACATCATCGACACGCTCGGCGAGAGGCTGTACGAGGGCTGCGACAAGGCCTACATGCTGAGGTTCGACGGCTCGTCGGAGATGCAGGCCGAGGGCACACAGGAGGTGATCGTCACCGGGAAGGAATGCTGCAGGGAGTTCATCAAGAGATTCTTGGCCGCCATCCCGCTCAGGGAGGAGCTGGAGATCGAGAAAAGGGGCGCCGGCAGCATCGACGGTGGTGGCGCGCCGCACCGGCGGCTGCAGATCGAGTTCCACTTCACAGTCCTACGAGACCACGATAGATGATCAGTTGGTGATACGACAGCAGTTGGGGGATGTTCCTTCCTCCCTGATTGCAGCATTGTACTAACATAATGTAAATTCATCTGTATATCTGTATACAGTTTAAAAGAAAAAAATTACAGGGTAGGATTGTTGGTTCTGGTTTTACCATTTTAGATAGGAAACAAAACATGGAGAGGAAATACAGAGTGCCGGTTGAGTACTTTTTTCTTGTTTTGGTTGGGATTTGGGTCTATCTCTGGACCATCCCTGCAATACCATTTTGTAAGCTAGCTCAGTATTACATGAATTTTACTTCTATTGAATGATGATTCAGGTGGGCAAGCTCCTCTTCCTACTAAAAAAAGAAAACTTGTCGCGGTAAATCACAGTGAACGGGTCCTGAGCTCCTGGCTCGTTCATTTTAATATGTAAATTTCCTATCAAGAAACCATCCTGTGACATTACACTCAAGAATCATGACTGCAGACATACATCTTTGTTCACTACAATATCAGATGTCAGCTATCCTGAATCTGTATATGGGCCTATAAACTATTCAACAACAACAACAACAACAAAGCCTTTAACACCATGTTCGTTGGATCGTTTTTGTGGCTTATAAGCCGGTTGATGCTGTTTTGTTGTAAGAGAAAAACACTGTATCATAGCTGATAAGCATGGCTGATATGATCAAGCGAACATGGTGTAAGTCCCAAACGGCCTATAAAGTATTCATTCAGTTATATACACAGGTTACAAGGGAGCTAGTCAGTTAATGATCGCACGCTGCATATCCAAGCTCAGGTCAGCACATCAGACTTGTGTCCTCCGTATGCTATATGGTTTGCTACCATTCAACCGGACTTCCTCCATAACATCAAGCTCCAACAGCGGCAAAACCTCTGTGTTTTGAACTCACAGCAGAAGAAGCAGCATATTCTTCTGCAGGGCCTGGAAGGCAGCGAGAGTCTATCCGGCTCAGGGCCAAGTTACATGGGAGAGACAGGAGGGTTGCAATTGCCCAATGCTGTTGGCACACGTGCAAATATCTGGCTCCTTATGATACCGATGAATCTCTTTATTTCTTCGTAGACTGCGAGGTTCTCTGGATAGCTTGGACGCAGCATTGACAAAGCATGCTCCAAGACGCCTGCTATGCTATCAAATTCATGCCACGAGTCGCTAAGGCGCTGCACAAAATTGGAACAGGAACATAAGAGATGAAAATAGCTTCTAACCACAGCTTCTCCAGTCTCGATAACAAGACATGTCAGTATTTTACCTTGATTGAAAGAGCCGTTGCGATGCATTTTGATATCAGGTCAGATGGATGTTGCGTGCTACGAGCAGATTCAGAACCTGTGCCTACACAACCTGTCGCTTGATTTGACATGCGTAACTTTTCATCGTCTCTACCTCCAGAGTTTGCCTATATAACACATAAGCAACATATCAAATGGAACTGAGGAACATGTTGCAGAGTCCAGTAATTGCCAGCTAGGTTTTAACATACCTGCATTTCTTCATCAACCATCTGCCTGGCTTGTGATAGTGATCTTTCTACAAATGCAGCTATAAATGACTCTAGCTCATCGTTGTGACCAGCATTATTGTCTGGGCAATCTCTAGATGATTTTGTAGGGCCATCAGATGTACTCCTATGTGGTGGTCTTTCATTATTTACAATAGATTCTGCCTGCAAATGAAGCATCAACAAAAACTTAGCCCTGAGATACTAATCATGATAATTGCATTTTATGAATGAGTGGAGGACTAAGCACTGCTATGTGAATATATAGTTACTTAGCCTGAGCAAGTACTATATGTTGAACCTCACTCTAAAATTTATGAACCCTGAGGAAAAGAATTTTAAACAAGATAACCTTAGGCTGTATATCTGATGTTAAACGCAGTTTTTTGAGCCCCTCAAGTACAGTAGCTCCATTTACAGCATGGTCCCCGTTCTCACTTGGTGTAAGGTCAGGAATGTGATCCATCTCCAGTATGCTGTACGCATTATTTGAAAGGTAGCTCCTTCTCATGTTGTCAGGACGATTATACAGCCAATTAACTGGCATACAATCAGTGTCCTGAAACCAAATAAGTTCAGGTATGTATCTTTATGTAACATAGCATCAGACTGTCAGATTGAAATTCTAAAGCTCATGAATGCAGAAGATTGTGAATAAGTAACAAATCCTCACCAAGTTCAAGGAAAATATGATCCAAAGTATAAATACTAAAAATGCATCATAAAGCAAGCATGCCCCATGCCAAATCAAAGAGAAATTTGTATGCAGCATAGTCAGTACCAGATCAAGATTGCAGTTGGATGCGACAGCTACCATGCTGACAATCCACTTTTGAAAAGTTTTTTTTTATTGTGAAAACATGCTAGTAGTCTCCACATGTAAAGGGCAAAAAAGCTTGCCACTACATTTGCACAGGAATAGGCTTACAAAAAAAAAAAAGAACTAGAGCAATGTTCAATGAATTGTGAAATTGATTCTTCAAAGTGAAAACTAAAGGTTTGACGCTTATAACATGAAAAAAGGCCATCTTACCAGCATAATATAAAAAGTCTTACTGACAATTGATGAAAGCAGCTGAAACAGAAACTACATACCTTTACAATATCAACACCAAGGTCAGGATCATCAAAATGGACCTTGTAACAATCCAGCCCCATCATCACCACTTTGCCATCACAAAGTTCCCTAGAACTTGGATGACGAACAATAACCTGCTGACCAATTGAAAATGGCCTAGCTAGGTCTGCAGGTAGAGAATCCCGTAAACCATTACTGAGTTGAGCATAGATTTTTCTAACTTGCTCACGATAATCCTCAAGTTTTTCTTTTTCCACAGCCAGAAAATTATTTGAAAATCGCCGTGGTTTACCAAGGGAGCTGCAGGAAAAACTTGTTCAGTGTATATAGCATAAACAAACACAATGCTGACAGAATTGACAATGAAACAAAGACTGTGTCCTCCAAGGTTTGCTTGGTTTGTACCTCCGAATTGCGCTCCATTCTGATCTAGTCAACTTTGAAAGATGACTCAATTTTGCATGATCTAAGTAGTGCACAAACTCATTATTTGAAAACCATGGATAATCAACTGCGCTGTAGAACCACTCATATGTGCACCATCTACGAAGTGGTTGGGATGAAAAACAGTGCAGCAATTTCTTTGCCTGAACATAGTCAACAGTTAGGATAGAAGTCTAAGAGCAGGGCATATCTCAACTTGTAATATTGATAAAAGGTGGGTAGACTACCTGTAAATTATCTGAACCTTCATTGCATGACATATGCTTTGTTTTGCAATGCATTTGAGATTTCCGTCTGGTCCTTCCAGACATTCTAACTTCAGGCTTGGTTTCCGTTTGTGCATTGGGGACTTCAGCAGAAATATCTTCAGATGCTTCTGGCATCCCCACTCTTCCAGAGTCAGTACACAAGAAAGAATCATCAGTGATACCAACCCTCAGTGTTTCCGGCAGGACTAAATTATTACCACAAATGTTTTGTGCTTCAGCAGGCACCTGTGACACAAAAAAAATGAGAGAGAGAGAGAGAGAGAGAGAGAGAGAGCATCATAATACTATCTGAAGAGATTAACATTTAGTACAGAACATATCAATATTGACTGATATTTAAGATGATTTGAATGATAAATAAACATATGTAAACAGTGCACACCACCAGCTCGGAATGTATTGATCAAAATGAATGCCCTTAAACATTATTCCCAGAACATTATAAATTCCATGGGATGCAAGTGGCATTGAGTTCAAAAATGGAAGATAACAATTGAAGGACCGAACCAACTATGAGTGAATTCCGACAGCATAAGATACACTAAAGCAATTTCACAAGTTCATTAATCTCATCTTGGTTCCACCAAAACAAATAAATAATAACACTGACAAGGAAACAGTTGACTCAATGTAGAAAATGAACATAGATGAGCCAATCGAATTTTATTTCCTAGATTGACCAGTAAAGGGACCATAAATTTAGATAGGAAGTACTCCCTCCGCCCAAAAAGGTCTAGAGTAGTGCTCAGCCAAAACATCTTAAGTTTGACTAAATTTATATAAAATGTTATTAATGCTTATCATACTAAAGAAGTATCACTAGGATTTGCCATGGAATATATTTTTATAATACACCTATATGGAGTCTTAAATGTTAGTAACATTTTCCATAAACTCAGTAAAACTTTATTTAGTTTGACTGACCAAACCTAGAATTGCATCTTTTTTGGGATGGAGGTAGTACATAAAACAAGGTTCAATTTATTATTTTTGTTTAAAAAAAAAACTTACCTCTGCGTCCTTCTTATGTTTTTTCTTCCTAGTCTCGGAAGCACTGGATTTACCAACTGGCTTCCCTTGTTTAGATACATCAATGATAGGGTGGTCTTCCTCCCTTCTGTGAGATAACGCAGAGTCAGTTTTCCCAAGTGAACCTGGATCAGTACATGAGAAGAAGAGATACATAAGAAATTATCAACATGGCTAACATATAATGTGGGGAAAAAAAGATGGAACTACGAGCAGTGACAGAAGCTGACCTGAAGGAATATTAATCTCTAGTTTTGATATTTTAGAGGGTGCATTCACCAGGCTATTCAATACATCCAAGACCAACATATCATCTGCAATCATAACAGAACACAAGCAGTCAAATATTTTCATCTAAAACAGTACTAATAACTAGTAAAACATTACACTGCTTATTAACCTTAGCAGTACCAAGGATTACTAAAAAGGATGCCTTTCTACAATAATGAGTGAAATCCTATGACGAGGAATATGCACCAGACAGCAATTATATGGTTGAAGAAGTGAACATAATGAATGCTCAATCACATATTGTACAGGGGGTCAGGGGTTTTGCTCTGGTTGCATTTTGTAAACCTATGTTCATCTGTGTGCCAGATCTGTATTTTCTTTTTCCACGGTAGTGGGCTGGAGGCTAAAGGGTTGATGGGGTGTGTGCTCAGGCTCAAGCTTTCAAAACATTGCCTGGAAATCTAGTATGCAGAAAGTCAGCAGATCTGAGAATGAATATGTACCATAATAGTACACAAGTATAAAGTACTTCATATACAGAAAATGGAATTGGAAGCAAGGCAGAAAATAAAGTCTGCATAAATAATGAGTATGTTGACATTTTGTCAATAAAAGTGAAAAGAATGAACCAATTGCTAAAAATACCTTCAGAAATACTGTCGATAAGTATCTGATTGTTGTTTAGTGAATCAACTAGCTTATTCCCTTCTTTAGATGCCACCGTTGTCTCATGCTCAACTATACCAGTCTGACCTTCCGCCATAGTTTGCTGAATTCTTGTTTTCTTAAAATCTTGACCAGCCTTGTTTGCTTCAGCAAAGCCAGAAACTCTGTCCGGAGAGTACTCATTTGTTGGAACAATAGCACAGTCGTTATTAGCTGCTTCATATTTTCTCTTGGTAGAATTGATGACGTTTTCAATTCCTGGTGTGGCCTCATCAATGGTACTCCTGTTTGCAGGAGCTATAACTGGTATACGAGGAGTACGCCTCCTAACAGCATGATTTCGGTTGTTCCTGGCCAATTCTGAAGAAACAAAAAAGCTGCTTAAACTTCTTAGGCAACAAATTATCCAATAAAAAAATACTTCTCAAACTATCTGCTAACAGTTTCCTCCTTAGTAGGCAATCCTTATGAGAAAGACTGAAAGGTTATTAAGGGAAACAGAAGATGACATTTTTTTGTTATGATACTCACCGCCATAGTATCGTTTTTTGAAGGAAGCTGAAAATCCAGAAATTTTCCCTTCATGACAGTTGTGTGGGTCAGGTCCATCAATTGATTTCTGTTGTTCTCCATGTTTCCTTGCCTTTCCAGATGCTCTGACTATGTGATCATATCCTCTATGACTCGTGGTTTTCTCCTGCTATTTCAAGCATCACAAGTCAGTCAATGAAAAAAATGTCAATCTAATTCGGATAAAACCATGTTTTGTAGGTATGCTGATAAAAAATAACAAACTAGGTTAAAACTCTGTATCAAGTTTTATAACCTTTACAATTCATTTGTTTTGTCTTGTCTATCCCACATTGCATTTCCATCTCATCATGTTTTATGATTCACCCGTTTGTATGAATCGTGCTTCAGAGCCTAAGAAGTGCCAACTATGGTAAAACGACCCAAGCGGCTCTAGGTTGGACGCTGTTTGATGTTAGAAACACCAGCATCACTACAGAATACAGCCTCCCATTCTTTTAGGGCAAACACATAATTAAAAATTTTATTGTTGTGAACAATAATGTTATAACGAGAAAATGGTAAAAAAGTTAGCTTTGGAGACTGCACCAAGCCAAACCAGACCTCAAATTATGAGACAAAGGGACTATGTATAGCTATTCTTATATTTAATAAAATTGTCATAGCATATGTTGGAACAATAATGATCAGGTGTGCTGATCTTCATTATAACAAGCTTAGCATGGTAGCTTCATATGGGACAAATGTTCACTTGATCAAATAACAAATGCAAGAAATTGAGGATCGTTCTACATATCCAAAAAAACAGTAATTCGAACAAGTAACCAATCATAAGCTAACCGAAGCATTGTGATGACCAGTCACCAGCGCAATAAATCCCATGGCAGTAGCTTCACGTTCTGGAAGAGATAAGAAAGTCTACCAAAAGAAATAAAACATGTCAATCCACAAGGATCATAGAGTGCAACATGGCATTCAAATAAGTACTATTTCTGCGGCATGTTATATCATCCTATATGAGCAGAAAAACACTATCTTAAGTTTGACAAAGCCATGTAAACAGTGGAGAATGCAGAGGTGGTGCACTTTGGAAAGAGCTACAGAGTTCAGACTCACCCGATGTAAAGTGTAAAGAGACCGCACCATGTCTGATGACTTACCACCTACCGCTACGCTGATCTGCATAAGCAAATTCACCGATCAAAATTCACACTGCCATGACACCTCGAATGATATTTACAAATGATGGAGAAGAACAAAGGGAAACAGACAGTTCGAACCTTTTTCCAGTCCTTCCCATGTTGACGGTAGGCTTCATAAAAGTTTGTAAGTTCATCCTTGCTCCATTTGGGATCTAAGTCTGAAATTTTCTTCTTCTGCAAAAAAAAATATTTTGATGAATGAGATAACTGAATACTACATCGCTGCAGAGTAGAATGTTAATTTAGATGATATGATGGCCCTGTTCGCTGGTTGGTTTCAGCCAGGGCTTATCAGCCATGGTACAGTGTTTTCCTCTCACAACAAACCAGCACCAGCCGGACTTATCAGCCCAGAAACCAACCAGCGAACAGGCTAGATGTCACAATTACTGGTCACTATCTATAGCCCATCTATCTAAATCTCCGCACAGCTTCCAAGAGAAATAAATGTGCGTACTTTCTGTTTAGCTTTGCTTGAACTAGATGGATCATCATGCTGCTGTTGATCTTCATATCCTTTTACTATGGTCTTGTTAATAGTTCGAGAACCCTTTGCTGGGCCCATCAAAACAGTCCTTGCCTTCAGACTCGACAAATATTACTGCGAGCAACAAATGAAATATCAGTAAGGCCGAAGTCAAAGCAACATTTGGGCAACAAAAATATATCGATAAAACAAGAATGTCATATTATTCATAAGTTCTGGAATTCCCTGCAACCTTCAAAAACTTTCACATGCTTACTTTAGTCTAAGCTAAGATGCAGTGAAAAGGATCGAACTCTTTTTTAAAGAAAAAACTAATTCGACGATCCGTTTACTACTGAGATCAAAGCAAGCCATCAACCTCAGAAAAGAAAAGAAACTAAACAAAGCAACCCATCACAGATCATTCAGGAATCAAAAGTAAAGAGGAATTCGTTAGAAAAATCCATACTTTCCAAAGCCCGTGCCAAAAGAATAACTCGAAATAAACAAAACGTGTTTCATTATTTTTTTTCGCACAAAATTTGAACGCCAAAGCCATGCCTACACAAAATCCACCAAACCGACCAAATTCTCTCCTAATTTATGATGCGTGACAACGACGGGTCACACCACAATGGACGTGCAGCCCTTTTATGTCACGAAGGCGTGAAGAGCGGTGGTAAACCCACTGCTGGAGGGACGAGCGTCACGGCGGCTTCGGGGTTGGGCGGGAGGAGAAGTAGGAGATCGAACCGGGCACCACCGTGCTGGCGCGCGGACAGGGCCGACTCTGGAGGAGCGCCTTCGCTGGCAGCTGCGATCCAGGCCAGTGCGGCCTCGCGAGCAGCGAAGAGGCTTCTGCCGCCAACAGCCGCGCTTGACTCGATTACCCCCAGCCACAGCACCGGGTGCTCCGATGAACCCAGACTCCCTTCCTCCCTCGTCGCAGAAACAACGCGAAACCCGCAAATTCCGCAACCCGCAAAACCGCGCAGAAAACCACGAGCAGAAATCGACCTCGCACCACCACCCGAACCACATCGGCGGAGATCACCCACCCCGCGGAATTCCAGAGCTAAGACCCGCAGAGGAGCTCACCTGGGTCGGATCTGGACGAAATCGCGCGCGCGAGGGCGCCTCTCGGACGCCCGAGCCGCGCTCCCTCCGGCGCCGCCGCCGCAGAGGCGAAAACACGCGTCCACGCCGGCAGAGGCTTGGGGCCCGGCGGCGAGAAGGTGCTGCTCGGGGGGCTGGTTCCGGCGGCGTGGATGGATCGGAGAGGACGGGAGCGGAGGAGATGGGGCGGCGAGTGCGGGTGGCCGGTTTGCGTTTCTGCTGCGCTGCAGCCGCGGCTTGGCGGGCGAGGGACACAAGTACAGAAAAGGGAAGAGGAAGAGAGGAGGAGACGGGTGGGAGCAGGCTTGCGACGGTGGGTGGGGGCGCTTACAGGTGGGCCACACGCGGGTTCGCGCGTTTGAAAATTAGGGTCGGGGGAAGTGGAAACTCGGGGAGAGGGACGCGGTGCAGCGTGGGCCTTGGGCCGTCGTGTGGATCTTGGGCCGGTAGATGGGTCTGTGGCGATCGACAAAGCACGCGTGGCGAAATCCGGTGGTCGCTACCTTTGGATTGTTCGTTTGTGAGCTTCTAGAAGAAGCAAACAATAGTCTTCATTAAATTTTAGGATAAAATTAGTTTCATTAATTCACCATAACATAAGTCTCGTAGGAATTTATTTGATATTATATAAATGTTAATATATTTTTATGAGGTTTGACAGAGTCAAATTTTTACTCAGGATACAAATAGAAACATGCTATATTTTGGTACTCCTAATTTGGAATAGAGGTACCCTCTATCTTTGTAGCTAATACGGTGGACCCACTGTAACCGACATTGATGGTGACTTAAAACAAATCTAAGAGCCTCTTTATATCTTTATAAGATCTTTTTACCACGGATTCAGCTCTAGATTCTTTTTTTTTTGTGAATTGCTTGCCTTTCATAAATCAGCCGGCCGAAGCCTCAACCATGATCAAGTCATACACACATGCTGAAGTAACATGCCACACCTCTGAGCAATGTGAACTAGAAACCTGACGAGCTAACAAATGTGCAACCTTATTAGAACTTCTACTAATAAAAGAGAAAGAAAACTCTTGAAAGGCAAGGCTAATTTCCTCCATCTCCTTTAGAATAGGATCAATGATGGATCTTTGTGACTCCTTCTTCTTCCACAATTGCACAACCTGGAGACAGTCGGTTTCCAAGGCCACCCGACATAAACCCATCTTGCAACATAACTCTTAAGGAGTACTTCCTCCGTACTTAAAAAATAAAGTCGTTTTGGATAAGGTTTGGGTCAAACATTGAGAATATAAATCATGAATAACTTTTAAGTTGTTGAGTTTGGAAATGTGAAAACCATATGTATAGATTTGTCTTGAAAAATACTTTCACAAAAAATTACATATATCACTTTTTGATAAATATTTTTATAAAAGTAAGTAGTCAAAGTTATGCTTTGTAGACCGTGTTGCTGTCCAAAACGACTCAATTTTTTAGTATGGAGGGAGTACCTTCTAGCCGTGCCAAACAGCCATCTAAGAAAATAACTTCCTTACAAAAATTTTGGAAAAGCCGGAGTTGTTTTTTAATGAGAAGTCAGGTGAAGATATGGCTTCTCCAGGCTTCTCCTTATAAGTTTGATACAAAATATTATAAAACTATCCTTGAAGATATTTTTGTCAAAAAAATTTAAAGTTTCAATCCCATCAAAGAAGCTGCTCTGCAAGAGGAGCCAAACACTTTTTGGAGGAGCCGAAGTCCTACTAAACTAACCCTTATTGTTGATAGGATTACAGATTTTCTTAAAAAATCTCCTTTAATAGGGTCTTCAACTTAATCTTCGGATATTCCGGATTCTTGCTCGCCATATAGAGGGTAGAACTAGCTCTTCAAAGTGCCATTGAAGATATAGATAAGTTATTTAAGGGTGAAGAAATATAAATAATGTATTTTATTAGAATGACTATTCAAATGAGGATTTAGATAGCCGATTTAAGAAATTCGGTCGGAGATCTCTTAGAACATAGCACTGTCGCTTAGCAATTTTTTAATATTCGAGCATTTTGTGTAGTTGGGAGTAATAATTTTATGTATCCGCGAGTAACACACTATGGCATATGGACTTTTGACTTTTTGAGTATCTTAGCATTTATGCACTGACGAGTTATTTTTGTGCATTTCCGTAAAGCAGAGGACTGCCGCCTGGTTTTTTTTTTTGGTCGGATATGTTAGCATTTATGGTCTGGTGAGTTTTTTTTTTGAGACGCTCTGGTGAGTTATTTTGTGTATCTCCGTATATCACATCATTGCCGCGTGGCAACTTTTGGATATCTCAGCATTTGTATAGTTAAAGTTATTTTGCGTACTCCCTCCTTATACCACAGCATGCTGCATGGTGATTCGTGGTTCTCTCAGCGTTTGTGGTGGCGAGATATTTTGCTTATATCATGGTATTACCACAGCATGCTACACGGCACTATTTTTTGGATACATAGAATTTATGTTGTGGCAAATTATTTTGCGTATATCATGAGCTAAGCATGGCTCAATTGGTTATTTTTTTAGTGGAACTTGTCCACCGCCCTGCCAAGCAGTGGTGAATCCAAGATTTTAGTTTAGAATATGCCGTCCAAAAATTTTCATATCAAATTTGGTAAATTTATTATAGCAATTCAGTAATAATTATAAAATTGACAACGTGATTCGGTATATATGCACTAAGTAACACGATAAGGCTTAAATTCATGAATTAAGTTGAAACCATCCACTAAATACAATATAAATAGTTTAAAAGTCATACTGATAATTGAAATATAGGCATAAAAGAGTACCACTGACTTATAATGCTATTTTTCTGACTATTTTATTCAACGCGTTACAATATAAACAGTTAAAAAGTCATACCGATAGTTAAAAGTCTAGAATACCAGGAATCCAATCCAAAAGAAAGATCCTTCAATTCATTTCAAATAAGCAAGCCAATAAATAGAGCTAGTGTTGTAGTTAAAGCAGCGAATAGAAAACCGAAATAACTAGTTATAGTAAGCATGAACGGGTTAAATTCTATTTTTTACTACCCTACATATGTTGGTAAAGCATTTAAAATAAAGAGATGCAATATTTGAGTTTCTTTTCATACCTGCATAAATATTAAAAAACACATTGCCAAATAATTAAACAATTTGCTATTTGTGATGTTAGCAAATAGCTATGAAAAATAAACGGCAATTTTCTGTAGAAAGATGAAGAGTAGAAGAAATCGAAGAGCAAAGATTAAATTTTACCTAAATGAAATAGCGAATCAAGATGGTAAGCCTTACTGCTGTGGCCGTGCAGACTATAAATGAGATGAGACATGGACAGCAAGCCTCCAATCCAATCCAGCAGACAGGGCGGAGGGCGGCAGCGGCATTGCGGCAGGGCACCAGGGCGTCTGTGCGTTAGGGGTCAGCCGTCAGGCGGCGTGCGTGTCCTCCGTCCTCAGGTCTAAATTATAGATTAATTAATTAGGAACCGGAAACATCGTGTACCCAGTAGATGTTTGGACTTGCCTATTGCCGCGTGGGCTGCGTCACATGGGCCTCCCGTCCTTCCGTGGTGGCGTGATGTGATCCCGATATTTTTTGTTTTTTGTTTACGAATACGGCGTATACATATGACTACGTAAACTAAGTTGCTGCTGGTTTCGCAGGACCCGGCATACCTGTGGCTCCGCCACTGCTGCCAAGATTCAAATACTCAACATGATTCGAGTGTGCACGTATTTTTTAAAATTATTCTAAAATTAACAGCGCTATTTTTTCTGATGTTTTCTTGGATAGCGAGGCGTCTATGGACACGGGGTGCTCGTATTTTTGTATTTTCTGCGTTTATTATAAAATTTAATGATGTTATTTTTTCACCGTTGGACGATGTACCCCTTGATAGCGGAACGCCTGTGGATCTTGAAATATGCTAATCTAGTTTTTAAGAGGCGCATGTAGATCTAGGGTTAATCTAGGATCCAACAACATTATTCATTCACTAGTGGATGACGTGCCTCTCGATAGCAAGATGTCTATGGATCTCTAGATCTATCAGCTCAGTCTTTATTATGAGGTTCTCAGTAGCTATCGAGGTGTCTACGTTGACTTCGTCAATATTGAGATATGCAAGTCTAGTCTCTTGAAGCTGCTTATATATGAGTTTTAGCGGCTAGCGAGACGTTTGTGGTGACTTTCGTCCATTTTGAAATTATGGAGCTTAATTTTTTTGAGGTTCTCGTAGTTTCAATGGTGGGCGATAGCCCCTTGTGAGGCACTTATGGTGAATTAATCAATCTCAAGATGTTCTGACCTAATCTTTCAGAAGTACGTATAGGGGTACGTGAGAGTGGTGAACGATGTGCTCTTTGATAGCAAGTCAACTATGATGACTTTTTCAATTTCAAGGTACGCTAGCTCGGAAGTGCTCATATGGGGAAGTCAACGTGTGTATATGTATGTGATGAGCATTTGTATGTGTAGATATGTCGTCTCAAGAAGTGCCCGTAAGGTAACGCGAGGGTGTGTATATGTATATATGCATTACTATCTTTGTTTCTAAAAGATATTTTACACATCCGTACACACACTACCGTGTGGCGGTTTTGATTTATTTTTTGACATATTAGCATTTGTATATAGTGCCGAGTTATTTTGTGTGTCTCCATGTACCACAACACCGCCACTATGTATTACACAACACCGCTGCACCACAAATGATACATGTACTCATAGATTAAACCTAAATAAAGTGTTTCTCCTCAAATTGTATTATCCCTTTTTAACATTTTTTTGCTAAATTTAATATAGATACCACATAGAATGCTCTATAATTCGGTATAAATTTTAGAAGTAATAAGACGTGGAGTATATAGTATAATAAAAAGATTTAAAATCTCTACAATACTTACATCGGCCCATTTTTGTATTTTCAGTGGTTTTCGGCCCATGCTTATGGGCCTGGAATTGCTCAACTGATTGGAGGTGCGGGGCCACTTGTACGCCGCCGTTGTTGCATTCTTTCCCGCGCCATCTCCACCGTCCATTGCCCATCCACAGTTCCACACCACGCCGCCGCAGCCAGGCACTCATGGCTGCCCACGCCGTCACCCCGCTCACCATCTGCCGCCTCCGCCGCGGCGTCCCCCTCCACCACAGCCGCCGCCTCCTCGCCGTGGCCGCCGCAGCGCCGGAAGCGCCTGCGCCTACCCCCGCGGCATCCCAGTCGCCGCCGTCCCCGGTTCCGCCCCGCAAGGTCTACTTCCCGAAGCGCGGCGAGACCGTCGAGCTCACCTGCGAGGCGCTCGCCTTCAAGGGTAAGGGCGTCTGCAAGGTCGCGGGCTCCACCTTCGTCCTGCTCTGCGATGGCGCGCTCCCCGGCGAGCGCCTTGTCGCCCGCGTCAGCCGCCTCCGCCGCGGCGCCTTCGCCGAGGCCGCCAAGCTCAGGACCCTCGAGCCGCACCACGACGCCGTCGAGGCGCCCTGCCCCCTCGCTGCTGACTGCGGGGGCTGCAAGACCCAGTCTCTCGCGTACGCCGCGCAGATCCGCCACAAGCATCTCCAGGTTCGCGACTTGCTCGTGAACTTTGGCAAGTTTGATCCCAAGCGCCTGGAGAGCTCGGAGCCGGATGCGATCCTCAAACCCATCGTGCCGTGCGACGAGATATTGCGGTACAGAAACAAGGTGAGGTTTAACTGCAGGGTTTATGGTGGATGGTTTTGGCGTTTTGAATACTACTCCCTCCATTCCGTTTTATAAGGTGGAGTTTGAAATGCCACGGTCTCGTAGATTATACTTTGACCATTCATTTACTTTATATTATATTGTTTATGCTTATAAACTTATGTGTAGTGGACAGTACAATTGCTTATAAATCTAATCGTATCAAGTTTGTACTATAATTGTTAACTGCTGGGTTTATGGTGGATTGGTTTTGGCGTTTTGAATGCTAATGATGTTCATGCCATTTTGTGTTTTTGTTGTTGCAGATGGAGTTCTCGTTTGGGACGAAGAGATGGGTGCAAAAAGAGTTGAAGGACAAGGATGAGGAGGTGGAGGTGAAGCAGGAAACAAATGAAACTGATGGATATGCGCTTGGACTGCACGCACCAGGGTTCTTTGACAAGGTGCTACATGTGCAGAAATGTTTTCTGCAGAGTGAGCCAGCAGATAAGGTGATGAATTGGTTAATTGTGATGTAGGAAGTTTGCTTTATTAGAAAAAAATTATGATATGTTTGGTTCCTAGTAGTATGTTACTGTGCTTTTGAATGCTGGTAGTCCAGCTTTGTATCAGACTTATTTGCTTTCTTAAAAGCAGAGTGAATCTCCTATAAAAAAAAAACTGATGATATATTCAGGTTTAGTGTTGTCGATTTCGGTAACATTCCATAGGATAATGTCTGAACAGGGTTGCTTAGGCAGTGTCTGCAATCGACATAGTTAATGGAGTTGCGGATTGGTGTTAAACATTACATCAGAAAAATATGTAGCTGTATTTGATAATCTGCTAGGAGGGTTTTGCTTATGTGTGGAAACATATTGTTTATAGCTGGTACCTGTATTCTAATCTTTCTGGACTAGAAATGTGGAACCATGTGGCTTGGAGGTTATGTCAAAGCTAGGTTGTTTATTAAACAGCATTTTGTTGCTTATGTTAATGTGGTTGGTTGATTGTTACTTGGTGATCATGTCACTTGATTGTGATTGGTGGGTGAATAGCGCATAGCTTTTTTATTGTTTGATTGACAATATGGGATGCTGAATTGATTAGTTGCTAATGTCCATAGGTTCTTGCAGTTGTTCAAGAAACCTGGATGGATCCTGCCATAGGCCTCACGCCTTATGATGTCCATAAGCATGTTGGGTTTCTCAAGCATCTTATGATAAGAACCGGAAGGTATGGCATGCCATCTTGTGTTTTTCACATGTTCTGCCAGTGTTTTCATATATCTCATTTTGCTGGTTGAAACCTGAATATAATTTATTCTGTTTTTATTTTTCATCTTAGTGTCACACACTCGCGTGTCTGATACCATCTATTCCATGCATGCCAATATGCCATTTTTATGCATAGTACATTCTAATTGCTAGAATTTAACTATAAAAAATGCATATACAAGACTCACTCCATTAAACAAATATAACATTTTAAGTTGAATTCAGAAGATGTGCTTTTACAATGCTACACATGTTTTGATCGTCAGCTCTGTTTCAAAAGGTGGTGCATAGGGCTCTAGGCAGGGCAGCACAATAACCTAGGTGTTTTCTCCCCTAGGGCGTTTAGGACTTGATCCAAGTTTGGCAATGTGGGATAAATTAGAGATGAAGAAAGACAAACTATGGTCATGGAACTTATGGTTGTAATATAATGTCAAATTCTTTGTTTTGATGTACCAAATATCTTTTATTTAACATACCATCACTCTACCCACATCTGAAAATTACAACATCATAGTCTCACCTAGCTGCTAGGTGGAGCTTGACCTCTGACCAGCACCTAGCGCTTGTGATAATGTGTTTTGATATTTAAACAATTAATCAAGTTGGTATTTTTGCTTTGTTAGCTGCTTGATCATATATCTCTATCTATAGGAAGATGTTCTGACTACATTTTCCTTTTAAAACTCAAGTAATGTTGATAAGGGAATAATATGTCCATGTAAACTACCATTAATCCTTTTGTTGGTCATTGAGCAAATCATTTTGTGTGATGATTTCCTTTAAAGATTCCATTTTATTTGTTTTTTTTCCAGAAACTTCAGCACTGAAACTCCAGAAGTAATGGTCAATTTTGTGACGTCATGTTATAAACCAGATCTATTGATGCCTCTTGTTGACAAAATCACAAAAATACCTGAAGTGGTATGTAATTGGTTCCTTTTTGTTCTGAACTTTAATAATGACAAAAATATTCTTAAGCTACTTACTTTTGTGATGATAGATATTATAATTTAAAACAGCTCTTTTATGTAAGGACTGTTCTATTTTTTTTGCCAATTAAAGGTCTGTTCGGAATGGAAGGAATGATCTAGGAGTTTTTAAGATTTATCTCAAGTTTGTAGTGAATCCTAGGGATTTGGTTGACAAAACTACCTTTCCAAACAGGCCTTAATTAGTTTGGTTTCCAGATTTGGGCCTCCATTATTCACATTCTGTAATGTAAATGCAGGTCAGTGTCATAAATAATGTGAACTCATCTGTTGGCAATACATCTGTGGGTGAACAAGAATATACCTTGTACGGGAAGCCAAACATTACAGAGATGTTGAGAGGACTTACATTCCAGATATCTGCCAACTCCTTTTTTCAGACTAATACAAAACAGGTTTGTTTTTGTTGAATGATGAATCGACATTTTATTGCATTTTTTTTCTTATCACAACCGTACCATTCCACCATGATGTTTCTCTCCAATCATCTTGTGTTTCTTTCCCCTCTTCAGTATGGTGAATGAAAAGAACTAAAGAGAGCATAAGTTAAATAAGAACTGTATATGCAGAAAATGAGCTTGTATGCTCATATAGATGAGAGAAGACCAGTAAATGGCAGAAATTTGAATGTTGAAATGAAGTCCCTTCCTGGCCTTTAATGATCTGAGCCCCTCTCCCGCTATGACTTCGTGCAGGCTGATGTTCTTTACAGGCTTATTGAAGACTCTGCTGGGCTTAAAGGAGATGGCTCTGAAATTGTTCTTGACTTGTTTTGTGGAACTGGAACCATTGGTTTGACCCTTGCCAGAAGGTAGTTTTTTTTTCCTGGGTGTACATATTCTGTGCCTGAACCGTGACTTGGGGCTCTTGGTGGGTTTTAACTCTAGCCTACCCCAACTTGCTTGGGACGGAAAGGCTATGTTGTTGTTGGTGGTGGTGGTGTACATATTCTGTGAGACATATATTACTAGTTATGAGAGTCTAATTGCTTTCTTGGTTAACATAAACCATTTTGCTACTACAATAAACCACTTTATGGCAACCATTTTTAGTAAACACACTTCTGCTTGGCTCAGGGCAAAGCATGTTTATGGATATGAAGTTGTCCCTGAAGCCATTGCAGATGCGCGAAAGAATGCCAAGTTGAATGGTATCAATAATGCAACATTTGTTCAAGGGGACCTCAATAAAATCAATGAATCATTCGGGAAGGAATTTCCAAGGCCTGACATAATCATCTCAGGTTCGTATTGGTTCATATACTGCTACTATTCATTGGCATTCAAATTTTAATTACACCATGATGTTCCCTAGAAAATTTGTTTGACAGCAACAGTTCTTTCTAAATCTGCCTTAATTTAGTATTTTCATTAGCTACTTACAGGCAACAACATCTTTGGTATGCAGCCTGATGAGTGTCACACTTATATACAACAAACATGAAATGAAGTTTCAAACTTTATGAAGCTATATGCTGGATCAGTTGTAATTCTAGTCTGCTTCATAACCCAACTGACAACAATGAATTATACAGATCCTAATCGGCCTGGGATGCACATGAAGTTAATCAAGTGGCTGTTAGAAGTTAAAGCTCCTCGAATAGTGTATGTCTCATGTAATCCAGCTACTTGTGCTCGGGATTTGGACTACCTATGTCATGGCGTGGTATGTTTTGTCCTACTCCTATTGGCACATAACCAATACCTTTTGATATTTTAGTTCTCTTGTGATACTTAGTTGCTGCTTCAATAATTTGACTGAAGGAGGAGAAAGATTTGAGAGGATGCTATGAACTGAAGAGTGTAATTCCTGTGGATATGTTTCCTCATACTCCTCATATTGAGTGTGTCTGCTTATTGGAGCTGTGTTGATTTTCAGTTTTGGTCAGGTAAACCCACTGGAAGGTTTTCCACTGTGTTTCATTTTGTCTTAATATTTGATGACATGAATGCTACTATATCTTATGCCTCTTTATTAACAGTTTGTTTCGTGTTTCAGAAATTGTCCATGTATTCTGAAAATGAGAGAACTCGTTTGTGGCATGAATACCATGATGAGAATCTTGATCTGATACTTTTCATTGAAGGGTACACAAATGATTTCCTCATGATTGAGGAACCCTTGTATCTTCTTTCTCAACATCGGGAAGTTACTGGACAACTGATCTGAATTCTGAAGACCCTGCCCGGCCTTGGGTTTTATTGAAACACTTTTGACGACTAAACAGTTTTTTTGAATAGAATTCTTATTCATCAGCTACCATGTATCAAGCAGCACCGAAGAAGCTTGGTTTGCTAAAAGAAAAGAACTGAACAGTAGCGCCCGGGATCATACTGTACGGTTGACTCTTCACTGGATGGTCATCAATAGACAACAAGGGTTGGACCTGCCCTTGCGTTCTACAGAGAGGAGAGAGGAGTGTATGCAAACAAAGGCACGATGTTTTTTTCATGAGGTATCTACAGAAAGTAGCAGGCTGTCTAAGTTGATTATCTTTCTTTTAGAAAAAAGGTTCCCCCCCTTCATTAGAATAAAGTGATAATATGTGTTCAAAGTTCAAGGCATATTCGAGGCGCGCCTGCCAAAGGTTCCAGAATGACAATTCTGATAGGATTGCATACCATCTACCCAAACCCCTAACCTCTACTCTGTATAAGCAGGCTGTATAAGTTGATTATATTGTCTGAACTTTCTGATTTGGTGTCAAAAATATCTCCAGTAAGTGTCGCTCAATTATGGTGCATGTGATTTTTTAATGTGAAAAAACTGTGAGCTGCAACCAACATGTTTTTGTTGTTCCCTGCTGTATCATCGGTCCTCATGGCGGAAGCTGCGGCTATTGCTTTGGCTGTTAAAATTATCTGTGTGCTCAATCTTGGCGGTGCCAGTTTCATATGTGACAATGAGACCCTTGTCCACATATTGTCACTTGTGACGCCGCTCTCAGACCTCTTCCGAACAGAGTTCAAGAACAGCAACACGAACATGCAGCATCAGATCTTCAAGATTCATAGGAGGCATAGGCATAACATCACTACTCATTCGCTAGCCACCCAGGCTAGAATCGTTTCCAGTAGTTTCTTTTCGGTTGCTCCAACCTTGATCACAGCAACTTCTGCCCTGTTTTATCTTCTCTGCAGACCGTAAATTTGAAGCTTGCTGAGCCTCTTCAAGTAAGATGTGCTTGAAGATAATCTTCGCATAGAATCACTGGATTTTAGTTCCCTTTTTCCAGTATTCATAGACAATCGAGGTATCAGGACATTGGAGCTTGAGCTACCTGAGTCTGCAAGTCTATATGAACTTCTTGAAGCAGTGAACCCAGATTATCTTCTGAGAATGCTTGCCAGCATTAGTGAAGTCAAGCTGGCCCCGAGATTTTCATGTGAACTGAAACTATATCTCGCCCTATGCAAAGGTAGTCAGTTTGGAAGTTACCTGAAGAAGCTCCTAATTCATGTGCCGCAACCAGGGAGTTGTTCTCATCTCTTGCCCTTGTTTGAGATTTGTGCACCTTTGTGTGAGGTGACTGTCCTTTTCCACGCTGAATCAGCTGATGCTGTCCGTCAAGGTGCAATCTCAATTTGTATGCAGAACTTTCCAGATATCAGATGGCCGTGGGGTACCTGGCAGTAGTAATCCTGTCTATATATGCATACTTATAGGCAAGTTTGAGTTACATAACTAAATTATCTGCGTGACTGATATTTGTGGTTTTGTTAACATAGCAGCCCCTTCTACACAATTGGGAGCTGGTTTGTTTGCTGACATATACTTTGCAAACGAATAGTATTTTTCTCTCGCAACAAATCAGGCAACAATACTTTCAGCCATAGCTTATCAGCCAAGCGATCAGGGCAAATATTGTACGCGGCAAGTATATGGTTGTGTCTCTGTTTCATCTATACTATATTACTATATTTTGTGTTTCTCCATCATTTGTTTAGATATTTTACTTGTTGAAAATTGTACCTGCATCTTGCTATTACCTGCTAAATGTGACGTGACGTTCTTTGCTCGTGTACATGGAACAGCAAGGAGATTAATCGATCATTAATATACCAACCAGCCTAGCAAAATCATTCATTTGAACTTACATTCCTTCTCAACATTGTACACTGTGTACTGTATACACTGTGTCAGCTGACGTGCACATGCCAAACCCTGTCTGCCAAATAATCCTCCGAAAACACAAGCAGAAGGCGCCGAATGGGATCTAACCTCTCAAGGGACTATACCTACCCATCTAAAATTCCCATTTGGCACCAAAGTTTGTCGGATCCAAATGCCAATTTCTCTCATGAGCAGAGGCACCAGCTGCACCGGCAGAAGCTGGGGCAGGAGCAGCTGCAACAGCAGCCGCATCGCCACCACGGGCACCGACAGCACCAGGAGCAATCGAACCAGCAGCAGCCGCAGCAACAGCACCCGGTGTCGCTCTTCCGCCGCTCCTCCTCCGTCGTCATCTCCATGAAGGCCGACACGGGGGGCTCGAGCTGCGGCGGCGGCTGCTGCTCGCGCTCCTTCTCCAGCGGCTGGTACAGCGCGCTGTTGACGACGTCCTTCTTCCTCGGCGACGTCTCCGCCAGTCTGCATGCAGGTGATTGCTTAATTTGCACGGTCGTTGCCGACAAGACAAGATCAAGAACGGGCATCACGGTGCAGTGCAGTACATTGGGAAGGCGAAGGAGAAGTTGCTGGAGCTGCTTCCGGAGCTGCTCTCGTGCTGCCGGAACACGGCGGCTCTCTTGGCGTTGCCACGCCCGGCGCTGCCCGGCGCCGCGAACTCCCTGGACTCGGGCGCGTCCCCGGGCTCCGCGCCCTCCGCGAGGGACGGCAGCTTGGAGTCCGCCGCCTCCGCCATGGCCTCGTCGTAGTAGAAGTCGAAGTGCGACCTGCTGCCGGGGTACAGGTCGCTGGCGCCCTGGATGCTGAAGAGCGACTCGTTGGACGCCATGCTCCACTCGGCCTGCGACACCGACGTTCTGTGCTGGAACACGGACGCCGGGATCCTCCCCGGGTCGAACCCGCTGGCCCCGGCCGCCCCCGCCCCCGCTCCCGCCGCTCCGAGGTTGGCCGGCGAGACCGTCTGGACCTGCGGCGGCGCCTCCGTCGGTGCCGCACCGGATCCGCCGCCGCCGTCCGACGACGCGAACGAGTCGTCGACGGCCGGAGGCGGCGGCTCCGGCCACGTCACCCAGTCATCCGGCTTGGCCTCCGCGCTGTGTACCGCGGGAGCGGCCTGTCCGCCCTCCGGCATCGCGCAGTCCGCCGGCTTGGCCTCGGCGCCGTGTTCGGTGGGAGCGGCTCTTTCGTCCTCCGGCATCGCCGACTCGACCGCTTTGGCTTCCGCGCCGTGTTCGTCGTCCGGCACCGGCACCGGCACCGGCAGTGCCGCCGCCAACGGGTTGACGAGCTCGACAATGTCGATGTCGCACGAGATATCAGCCGACGACGCGGACGAGGAGGAGGAAGAGGAGGAGGACGACGCGGTCGACTTCCTGGCTGGCTCCAGTTCCGTGGCCTCCTCCTTTGTCTCGTCCGGCGCCTCCTCCTTTGGCTCGTCCGGCGCTGCCGTTTCTTCCGACGGTGTTACCGCCCTGGCATTGTCCCATAACGTCGTGCCCGGAGAGAAGGGCGGCGACGTCGGCGACCCGGGCTGGGGCTCCATGACCACGTCCTGCAGCAGCCATGGCATGCACGTTTCAGATAATGTATCACCCGTATGCATTAATCAATCTCCTGATCTTTAACAGCCATTGTAGTCATCATCGGATCGGGTTAAAGAAAAGAAAACAAATCAATGGATCATGAGCGCGCGATCGAGCGGTGATCGAATCGTTTGCTCGCCTGAAGAACAGGAAGAGCCCCAACACGAGGGGAGCGCGGGGGACGGGGACGGGGCTGCCTGCGACGAGGGACGAGGGACCGGGGCTGCGCGCAGCCGCTGCAGCTAAGGACGGCACCGCCGTTTTGGCGGTTGGAGCGACCCGTGCGTGCGACGGTGCGAGGCCACGCTAGCTATTTTTGGTTGACTCGTGTCGTGTCGCTGCGAATCATTACGGCGCGACGAGGCCGGCGAAGCCACGAAACGGAAACCATCCTCATCCTGGCCCGGACCAAATCCAGGCCGTCTGCTCTGCCCTGCTTCCCTGGTGCACGCACGAAGCTGCCGGAGACGCAGAGGACCGCTTCCGCCGCCTGCGTCAGGTTGATGGCACGGGTGCGGCTGCGAACTGCGAACAGCCGACTGCCTGCGCCGGCGCCGCCTTGGGTGCTTGGCGCGCGCGCGCCAACGGACAACGGTGCCATCCACGTGACTCCATCCGACCATCTGGGCTTTTTGGGCTTTGCAGAGTTACATATAGTGGTCTATGTTGGCTTTGACCACTCTCGAAGCTCAGAACCCTTCGTTTGATGATGATTTTACTGGCGTCCCGTCAAAGGAATAAACCGGACTAGTAGAAGCAGCAGTGGAGCTTCTAGAGACTGTCTCTAATAATCACGATCTAAAATATAAGACTCATTTATCTTTTAGGTAGCGCTATAAGCAAAGAGTTTAATACTTATTTTTGGTCTTTTCCAACAATAATACCCAAAAAACAACGCTTTCTACAAATGGGTCTACAGGAGAGAGGATATTCAGATTCAGCTTATGCCTCTCCATGCATCCAAAATGGGTCTTCCATATAGGTACTCTATTGGATGCTATATGTATTGTGTTAGAGACCCATTTTAAGTTTGGGTTCCGCAATGGGTCTCCTATTAGAGACAGCCTTATAACTACATCATTAGGTCAATTTATAATTTTTGTAATTTATGTTTTATGAATTTTTTGATATATTTTTAAAAATATTTCTAATCTGATTTAACTCCCCAAACTTTCAACTTTGTAAGATTTACCCCTCTCTGACATGACATCACATCTGCAAAACCAAACAGTTTTAAAAGTTGAGAGAGGTAAAAAAATATTTTTATAGTTCAGACAAGAAAATCGAACAAACACTATAGCCGAGGGACATACATTGGACTTTTCACTTTATACATAGTAGTCCTGGTTAGTTTTGAGCACTATCGAAGCCCGGAACTCTCTTTGTTTAATGCCTGTGTTTTTCATACAACCCTTTTATTTTCGGAGAAGAACCCGCGCTCAGACGTCTGGACAGTTAACTCTTATCCGGATAATTCAATTCCGACCGAAAACATTATTGTCATTTACTTCATCTGTTCTATATCATAAGACGATTTAATTTTTCTAGACACATTACTCTATACTATGTGTCTAGACATAGTGTATATCTAAGTGTATAATAAAACCTATGTATTTAGAAAAGTCAACACGTCCATAATTTAGAATGTATAGAGTACTATCTATCTTGCATGTAATGTCGTTCAATCCCAAATAATATAGGAAAAAAGAAAAAAATTGATAGCCCTCACTAAAATATTGCCACTATGTTGTCGATTATGCGGCAACATCGCTCAAAATCCCAAATCATGTAGTGAACAAAATCAACCATGGAACATAAAAATAAATAAACCGCATCTCAAAATAGATAACTTAACGCAATATAAAAGAAGATCACGTACTATAAGTAACATTATATGGTCTACTGCAATATTACAAAATCAACCGTGTAATATGAAAAAACAATTTTTAGTGTTGCAATATTTGAAAAAGGTAGTCCCAACAATTAAATCCACTTGCCACAACCTAGAGAAGTTAAAAAAACAAAACTCAAAAGATGCTGCAACACTCAGAAGAAAAGAAAAGTAATCACAGTATCAAAACTTACTTTCCACGGTACATGACTCATCTACTACAACATTCAAATATCCATTGCTACACCCTTAAAAGTCTCATGCAACATGGAGAAACAATAAACACAACATCATAAATCGGATACCACAAAATTGTCGCCCACAGAGGCTTGAACGTACAATAGCCGGAGAATGGGTTCGAGGGCGAGGCCCATCACCGTCGAGCTCAAGGTTGTCACGACTCACGACCAGGAGAAGAGGGAGGATCTTATTGGAGGAGCCGTGCTGCAAGGTGGAGTTGTGCTGCACCACCCCGAGCTCAAGCCAGTCATGTGGACTTGATTGAAGAGCTACCGTGGCATGGGAGCTCAAGCGAGACAGGGGAAGCAAGAGAGAGGGATACATGTCTGACTGAGTGGGGAAGACAGAATTAAAGCATGTGCATACCGTTTGGAATAAGGATGAGGATACAAAGGCAGAGCAGGCGAATCCATATTTTTGTGTAGGAGGCAGACCCACCGGGTGACTGTCGATGGAACGAATGGCTAGCTCCTAGCATTACCATTTTATCTTTTGTTCACTGATACTTTGAAAACGAAAAAAGAATCCGGCAATCTTAACAAAAATCGAGTTAGGCCCTGTTTGGATCCGAAGTATTTTTGAAGTAGTGGAGAAATATTATAGTTTTACAAAATACTTTGGTTTTTAAAAGCTACTAGTTGCTTGGATGCAACAAATCTTGTAGCATCTAGAACCATGATTTTATCAAAACTGTAGTATTTTTGAAGTTTTAGAAACTCCACTTATTACCTCTTTTTTCTAAACCACGGTTTTGTGTCTCTTTAGCTTATAAAACAATAGTTTTGTGATGTTATAGTTTTCAAAAACTGCATCATCCAAACAAGCCCTTAACTTCCTAAAATGCCAATCCCCAACAAGGTTGTGGCTCAGTGGTTAGGTCACCATAGCCTCTCGTTGATAAAAGCGAGGTTTGAAGATTTTCTCAGTCAGTATAACTGAGCTCTCCTTTAAAAAAATGTCTTGGAAGAGATCCTACTCCTACTTGATCCTTAATTTTCTCTATCAGGCTCTATCTTGTGTTAAAAGAAATAATTATGTTCTCATGATTGGTGCCTTGCAGCCTCAAGGATTTCTCATAATGGAAGAATTGAGAAGGAACCAAAAGGAGCCGGCTTTCCCTAGTTCGATTCCACCATTGATATATACCATGAATTGCGAAGAATACACGAACCATTGGACAGACTCCAGCATCAACATACCAAATCACCAATGAAAAACATGAGCCATATGACCATATATTACAAGCTACCATTGATAGTTCGGTCTTTGATCCAATCGTCATGCCTAAGGATGGGATCGAACAAAGCGGGCTAAAGAGGAAAGGAAATAGTTCCAGGCTCTCTCAATCCGTACGCCATTACACTTGACGGGAAACGAAGAGAGGGTGGAACGAGAGGGGAAAAGTGGGGCGCAGTGGTCTACTTCTTCCAATCCTTATGCCATGGCAAAAGATGGGGCATTGGAAAGGAGCGACACATAAGAGAACACGAGCGCCCAAATCCACTCGTAGGGTACCTTGACCCACGTGCACTAAATGGCACCAAGACACCCCTAGGGTCTTAGTGGTACGGTTGTCACCGTGAGAACCTAGAGAGCGCTAAGGTCTAAAATAGGTACAAGCATAAAAGGGCTCGAGCACGAAAGAGTTGAAAGAGGAAAAAATACGGACTCACCTTCCTTTGATCCGCTCGCCATAACAATCGACGGGAATCGAAGGAATGGAATCAAGAACGCAACAAAAGAACACTAAGGGATGCAAACAAGTGAAAAGGGATTTTTTGTTCCACCATACTTCGATCCACATGTCATGGCAATTGACAAGAATTGAAGAAGTTGGAACAGGAGAGCTCAATCCACGTCTTACCAGATCGACGAAGATAGAAGGAGAGAACTAAAGAAGATAGAAGAATGGTCCCGCATTCCTTCAATCTGCTCGTCATGTAAATGGATGAAGGTTGAAAGAGTTAGACCAAAGAAAGGAGAGACACAGGTAGCAAGATCTGCCACTCTTTGATTTAGTCGCCATGGCAAAAGGCAAAAACTGAAGAACGCAATGAGGCACAATAGTCCACTACCTTTCGATCCACTCATCATGATAATGGATGGGAACTGAAAGAAGCGATGCACAAGAGAGAGTTGACTCGGCAAACGCCACAAACGACACTCCACACCAACCCATTGGGCACCACGACCTATGTGCAACTAGATCAGCACTTTGCTATTCCTAGGGTTCATAGCGGTGTGGTTGTCACTGTGAGAACCTAAGAAATGCTACGGTCAATGTGGCATAAGCATACAAGATGGTTAGGAAGAACAAAAGAGCAAAAGAGAACAAACGAGCGAAAGAGGTAGAGCCCGATGGTCATGGCAAGGCAACTCGCGGCCATGAGCTTTACCTACACAAGTTGGCTTCCATAAATCCCACGATGGTCGTCCCCTAGTTCATCTCCTATAGACTAGGTCATGTTGGGCTCTTCATGTGTGGGTAGGAAGCGCACCGATGTCGAGCACATAGTGGCCACGTCCTAGAGCCGTAGGAGGGGCCAATGATCACGGCACCACAAAGTCAACTAAAAACAAGGGGTCAGGTTACGATCGGCGCCACGGCCACGGCGGGACGAACCCACGACCGAAACGTTCGAATGAGGTACGATCCCTCAGCTGACTCAAAGGCTCGGTCCACAGATAAACAACACAAACACACAAAGAACAGACAACTCAACAACACGACATGGAGTAGCACATAACCATAGCACCGGAGATAGACACCATAGCACAAGAGATAGACCAGCACGAAGGCACGGCACAGACATAGATAGATAGATCATGTACGAACAAGTATAGATGACAAGTATGAATGAAATGAAAAGCAGGAGCTGTATCAACGTCGAGGATGGCGTCGACGGGGTTTCAAAAGGTCGACCTTGATGATGGCGGGGAAGGCGAGGCTCGCTGCGGGTGATCAGCGGAGCGCCAGGATGAGCTACAGCTAGCTGCAGCTAGCTTGGGCCAGCTGTGGCTTGCTGTAGCCACCCTTGGCTGGCTGCGGCCTGCTGTTGGCTTGTCCAGTGCGGTTGTGGCTGGCCGACGGCGTGCTGGACGTGGCAGCAGATGGTCGGAAACTGGCTGCTGCTGGACGTGGCTCCAGGCGGCTGGGAGGCGACTGAGTGCCGGCAGCTCGGAACAGGGTAGCCACGCTAAGGAAGAAGCAAGGTGCAGCCTCCTTGTATGGTGTAGTACACGACACGAAGGCCGATCTCAGACATGAGCGGTGATAGAAAAGGGAAAAGGTGGAAGCTTTGGCTTTGGGGCTCACCGACGATGGAGGAGGCTCGACCGTTGCATGGTTTGCCCGGAGCAGAGGGGTTGCCGGCAGAGTGGAGGTACGGCGCCGGCGAGGAGGCACTGTGGAACGAAGGCGAAGAGGATCGCAGTCGAGGGGTCGCAGCGGCTAGAGTCGAGAACATCGTGGTGGTGATGGCTCAATGGCACAGCGAAAGATAACAGGGCAAGGCCGATGCAGAGACGGTCGGCGAGGTGACAGGCCGAGGTAGTTGCCATGGCAGTCGGTGACAAGGCCGCAGTCGCATCGCAACGAGGCCCGGTGTCAGGGTCGCTGGCGAAGGAGAGCTGGCCAGCGTCGAAGCAAGGTCGGCTGCTCGGCTGTGGCAAGGTCGCGGCCAGCTCGGTGGAGGGGACGCCACGGCGTAGGGTCGTGCTCGATGTCGCGATGAGGAACGGCATGGCAGCAAAGTCGGCGCGGCCGTGGTGAGCTCGGAGCAGAGGCGGTCGGGGTGGAGCTGAAGGCGGCCGACCACTATAGAACGGGGGCGAAGGAGCCCGCGCTGGTGCTCTGCTACCCGGCGAGGAAGAAGGGCGCGACGTGGTTGTGGCGCTGCGGTTCGGAGAGGAAGACGGTGGCGTCACGAGGGGGGAAGAAGCAGCTCGGCGCGGCCATGGAGGATGGCGAGGTCATCGTGCTCCGGGGTGGTGCGACTCCTCGAGTGCGCCCGCATGGCAAGGAAGATCGGCGCGCGAGGCGAAGACAGCACCGCAGCGGCGTCCTCGGAGCAGAGCAGAGAGCGGGGAAGGAAATGGCGGCCGCTTGGAGGAGGAAGAGAAGGGAGCGGCAGCCATGGCTTTTATAGGGCGCGTGCTAGGGTTCTGATGGGATGGGCGATGGGCATCCTCGACGTCCGTACCCTTGTCCACGTGGCGTGCATCCTTCGGGAGGCGGAGCGGGTAGGGCGCGGGGGGTACGATGCTCCCAGTCGGGGCGGTGGCGCCTGGAGAGTGCAGGGGCGCGTTGACCCCACTAGGGTTGTGGGAAGCGACTCCCACCTGGGCCAGCTGGGCTGGGCCGAGCAAGGCGCTGGCTGGCCTGTGGCTTCGCGCCGGACAAGGGCGAGGTGGAAGAGGACGGTTGGGCCTGGCGGGATCATTGGGCCACAGGAGGAAAGGAAGGGAGAGAGGATGAGTGGGCCAGCTGGGCTAGATGGGAAGGGGAAAAGGAAAAAGGATTTTCTCATTCTTGCTAATTGGTATGAGAGGAATTTCAAGGGATTTGAGAGGTAAATCAAAAGGGATTTAAGGTGGATTAGCTATGGATTTGTGCTTTCCAAACACCAAACAAAACTCAAACCAAAACCAACTCAAGAATAAAGGCACACTCCTACGATCAATTCTAGATGAATGCAACAATTTATTAGTAAACTCTCCTAGGTCTGTCTCAAGTTTGACCTAGCGACTACATGCTTCACACATTGCAGGTAAAATTTTAAAAAGCTCGTATTTTTGGTTGCACGAAAATCCGGGTTGTTACAACATGTCTAACCATTGCAACATCCAGATGAAGACACTTGCAACATACGTTGAAAACACTTGAAACACTTGCATATATGTGTAATATCCAGATCTACTTTTACAACATCCAGATGAAATACTTGCAAAATACATCAGAAACAGATGAAAACATTTGGAACATATACCTGAAACATATGTGTATAGCCATTGCAACAACATATGCAACATCCCGATCTATTTTTGCAACATTGATATAAAACACTTGCAATATACCTCTGAAACATCTGAAAAATACTTGAAATATACGCTTGCAACACAACTTTGCTTTTAGGACCACGCCAAATTCTTTCTAGTAATATCATCTTGTTGCATGGATGAATCAAGTCTCGCATGTTTTACGTTCTAGCAAGAGGTCGACGGCGGGCGCATGGAGATGTTTCAAAGCAACGTTTCAATTGTTATTCACATGATTAAGCATGGAGGATGCTTGATGATGCATGACATCATCTGCCGTGACGAATGGAGCACCGGGCCGTGGGTGGAGGCGCCGTGGGGGGAGGCGCGACGGGACGGGGGCATGCGGTAGGCGGTGCGGGCTGGAGCATGCGGGGTGCAGTGTGGGAGGGGCGGACTAGTCCGGACGCAATGTAGTGAGCATTTCCGTTGTTTGTGAGAGGATATTTGCGGGCTACACTTCAATTAACTACCCCTTTACGTCAATTAATCCCCAATTAAGTACCCCATTACCTACACTACCCCCGGAATCATGCCCCCCTAACGCATGCATGCATTTTGCGAATCGTGCTGATAAATCGAAGTGCCATGCCTAGTCAACCGTACGTAGCTTTTACCATCAAGACAGTGGTATTCTTCTAGATAAAGACAAGAAAGTGATATACTGATATGCATACTGATGTGTGAGAAACAGAGAAAGAAGACTGATTTCTGAACTGAACACAGAGCAATGCTGGTACTCACAACTTCATAATACTGTTTCTATCTACCAGCAATTCAGCATACATACACACGTACGTTAGTACGGGCATACGTACTGTAGTCTGTAAACAGTTTAAACGTGTCCGCTACACGTGTTCGAAAACGAACTACAGTAGCCTTGCCCTTTTATTACTTTGAGATCCAGTAGTTATCTCCCTCCGTTCCAAAATAAATAACGTTTTTGAGATTTAGACTTCTTGTTTCATCGTTCATATTATTCAAAATTTTATATAAATTATTAAATAAATAAATTATTATTAAAGTATCTCTAATGATAAAATAAGTAATAACAAAAGAGATAATATTTATATAAATTTTTAAAAAAACGAATGGTCAAATAAATTGTGTGAAAGTTAAATCCTCACTTATTTTGTGACGGAGGAGGGAGTTTGCAATCAATGCAAGTGCTGTTGCGTGTAGTAGGCCTGTCCTCTGCCACTGCAAGTCCTCAAACCCTGAAAGTGAACAAATCAGACAATCTCATCTTTATTCTTACCAACTCCGTCACGAAGGATGTAACTCTGGTTTTGATTTGAGTCAAAGTTCTATAATTAATTAGTAAGTTCATAGAGAACATTATTAATATTTATTTATGACTCAAATTGGTGTCCTAAGGAAATATATTTCAAGATTAATTTAATGATACTTTGTTTTTTTTTTTGGCATCCAGTGAAATTTCAAACTGCTTTGCTCCTAGAAAAACGAGAATTACATTTTTCTCAGGAGCATTTCTCTTAGAAAAACAAAATTCGAGTCTGTTTCCTGAAATGTCAATCCCCACGTGTCCCGTATCAGGTTCTAACCTCCTGTTCAAAAACAGATTCTTCTGGAGATTGGTGACCCAGAGGTTTCTCAGTTTCTCACACGGGAAAGGAACAACAGGTGCAAAGCAACCAAAAGGAGACGGCTTTATCAGAGCAGTTTCCGTATGCACGTATCAAGTATCATTAGCTACATTTTGATCGTGTTCGGTGAAAACTAAACGAATCCAGCATCGATATACCAAGAAAAGACATGAGCCATACATAGGACATTTGTTTTCACCTGAAGAACTGCAAAAATAAACTGACAAACGATACCGGAGAAGAGCACACGAAAGGAAAATCACAGGAAACACAGCACTGCACCAATAAGCTCGCTCATCATTTTCGATCCAAAAAAAAAAAAAAAATCTGCATGCTCATGGTAAGATGCCAGTGCCACCGATTGGTCATGCTCATGCAGGCAACCGAGCATCATGCATGCAGAGATTCATAACATCCTGAGCAGATCACTCTCTCACAGTTCCTTCCTGACTGAACTACAACTTTCTTTCCTGATCCCTAAACGACTTGACTCCCAAAAAGATCACCTGGATTGCAACACTACACTCTACTGTTAATGGAGCAGCTAGAAGAGAAAAAGGCTAGATTAGCGATGATGCAGCAGCAGTCATTCGCCGGCCACCGATGGCGGACGATGCACTGCGCGCGCGCCGGCGGAGGGCGATGGAGCTCTTTAGATGGACAGGTCCGGCCACCCCATGCTCCAGAACACGCCCTCCGGCAACGCCTGGGACACCGTCGGCTGCTGCTGCTGCTGGGTCGGCGGCAGAGCAGCGACAGAGGCAGGCGCGCGAGGCAGGGCCGCCGGCGCGAGCCCGCCCAGCAGGAACCCGGAGGAGAAGTGGACGCCGACGTCCGCCATCCCGGGCGCGATCAGCGAGGTGAAGCTGCCGCCGAGGTCGAGCAGCCGGCGGTCCGGGTCCACGGAGGCGAGCGGCGACGCCAGGGCCGGCGCGGCGAACGACAGGCCGCCGCCGCCGTACGGGCGCAGCAGCGAGCCGCCGTGGAGCGGCGGAGGCGGAGGCGGTGCCGCGAGCGCCGAGGGCTGCGACGCGGTCGCGGGCACCGGCACGGACGTGGGAGCTGGGGCGGCGCGCTTGCGGCGGCCGGCGGGCGTGGCCTTGCGCGTGCCGCCGCCGACGGGGACGTTGCGGAGCGCGCCCCCGCGCGTCCAGTAGCGGCGGCACGTCTTGCAGAAGTAGCGCGGCTGGGACTGGTTGTAGTTGTTGTAGTAGCAGAACTTAGTGTTGACGGACTCGCAGCGCGGGCACGGCAGGCCCTCCGGCTCCCGCCCACCTCCCGCGCCGCCGCCGCCGGTGGTGACGACAGCCATAAGCGCCCTCCGTCCGGCACCTGACCCGCCTCCATGGCAGCAGCGGAACGAACCATCCCTCTCCTCTCCTGTCTCCTCTCGCTGTTGCGAGCCAAGGTCGTACAACCAGTTGTTGGTCGATACTGTGGCAAGTGCAACTGTGCAGGGAGTGGGCTGGCGACAAGGATGGATGATAGGCGAGACAATTTGTAGGGGAGGACGGAGGCGGGAGGAAGGGTGGGGAAGAAGACAAGGCGGAGACGGGTGTGTGTGATCTGCGGCTGTTCGTTTTATCGTGGTTTGTCGTAAACGATTATAAATTTATAGTTGAAATAGTATTTTTCTCTCACACTAGCCAGCAGTATTTTTTCACGAACCAGTAACGATATGAACCAGCCAACCGAACATGCTGCTGATTGAGGAGTACTGTACAGTACTGTGTTGGAGAGAGTAACCCCAGTAGGTGGCGGTCTTGCGGGGCCGCGAAGCTCTCCGTCTCGCTTGCAGGAAGAGAGGCAGAGGAGGGGGTGCACCCTGACCGTGTTGGCATGGCAGGTGGCAGAGGACCAGAGGAGGGAGGGTTTGAACAGGGGTTTGATTGAGACTTCTATTCCGGGGAAACGGACAAGCCGGCGGCAGGGGCAAAGGTCGCAGCTTTGTCTCCTCATGGGGGTTGCTCCTCGCCGTTGCTGCCGGTGGCCACCACACCACTGCCACTGTGCGTCTGTGCCCTGTGGAGCAGTGCGGTGTTCCGCGTTTCCGCTGGCCGTCTGGGCTTGTTGTTTTGTGACTTGAGAATACTCTCCGGT